GCCCCTGGCTGGAGGTTTCCGGAGGCCCGGCAGGAGGTCGTTCCCCCCCACCCCCAGCACCCCAGCTGGGGCGCGGGGCCCTGGGACAGCCACACGGCCTCTGTGCCTTTGTCATAGGGGCCCGGCTGGGTGAGGCTGCCTCGAACACCTGGTTAGCAATGGACGGACATGCTGTGATTTGGCAAAGGACACTTAAAGCTGTGTTCGCCCCCTCCAGCACCACCCAGCAGACTTGTCCGATTCCAGCTGCCCCCCTCCCCCCCGCTTCCAGATGTGTGTCCCATTTTTTCCCTGGCCTTCTCCACTCCCTCTCCTTTACACCTGGGGCTTTTTTTGTTTGGGAGAGGGGGGCACATTGGTTGCACGTTTCTGGGAGATCCTGAAGGAGGAGGGAGGAAGGGAAAGGGATTTAAAAATTAATTTCCCACTTTTCTAAGCCTAGGGAGAAACATATTTGCGCGTTGTATTTCCTCTTGTGCACCTAGTTAGAGGATGACATTGTGCAATTGGAAAAGCAATTGCATGTGACGGAGGATGCAAGGGACCAAGTGCTGGAAGAGCTACACAAGTCTGAGGATAGCCTCCTCTCCGCAGAGGAGAATGCTGCCAAGGTATCGTGCCCTTGTCGCAAGCAAAGAGAATCTAACTGTCTCTCCTTCTCTCTCTCTCTGTCCGTCTGTCCTTTTCTGTCTCTTCTGCACTCGCACTTCTCCCTTTGCACGATCACGTTGCCTGCTGCACCTTTTCCTGCCCGCCCTCCCCTCTCCACCACTTTCCACCCGTATCACAGCTGGAGGACGAGCTGGTGGCTCTACAAAAGAAGCTGAAGGGCACTGAGGATGAGCTGGACAAATACTCCGAGTCCCTTAAAGATGCACAGGAAAAGTTGGAACTGGCTGACAAAAAGGCCACAGATGTAAGTTACCCCCATCCCTTTCACCACCACCCCAGTACAGAAACGACACACTCCCTCTGCACAGGACAGCCAGGACTCCTACCAAGCAGCCTTCCAAAGCTTTGCTGAGGGCAGGGTCCAGGCACCTCCTGGGCAGGGAGGTGGGAAACACAGCACTGCCTCCTTGCATGAGGTTTGCACACTATCAGAGGCATTTCATTGGGTTTCTGCTCACTTGACACGTGCTTTTCGTGTGTACTTGCCGCTGTAGATGTGAAAGTAAAGAAAGGGTGGATTGTCTGTTCAGGTGATGGGGAAAAGGGCTTAAGCTGGAACACCACTATCTTGATAGTGAAGCAGAATCATCAGAGAGTTATTAGCAAGTAGATCCAAGAGAGAGAGATCCAGAAGAGCAAGGGCTGCTAGTTCTGTCTTCAAGAGAGCCGTTCCTAGTCATGCATGCGTTAGAACTGCTGCTAGATACTAGTTTGGCTCACTTACTGGTCCCTGAGATAAAAGATCCTCTCCTAAGTTTTTTTCTTTTCCTGGAATTCACTGGAACTGTTTCACTTGTCAAAGAAAAGTTCAGTCTTGTGTAAGAGAAAATTGTCCGGAAGATGATACTTGCTAGGTTTGCAGTTCAGAGGACAGGGATCCTGGGAGCAAGCTGCGAGATATATATAGCTCAGCACTTTATATGGTAATAATGCAGGAGCTTGTGCCTCTCCGAGGCCCTCATCCCACCCACCTGTCTGCCCCTGACATGCATTTAACGTACTGCATGCATGGAACCGTGCGAGTTTACTGTCTCTGCAGTTAAGGTCCAGATCTTTGTGGCTGCTGCTGTACAATCCAATTCTCTCTGAGTAAATCTCAGGTCTGAATTACAGGATTAGGTGAAACCACAGTATTTCCAAAGTGATGAATGTCCTTTTCCTATAACTCAGCTTTAAAAATTAACCTCAAAGTCATAATAAAAAGAGGAGTTGCCACAGATGAAGCAAGCAAAGTATTTCAAGGAGAGGAAGGATACTTTTAGAAGGGGAAATGTTACAAAAACCAACTTCGCATGACAGACAACATGCTTTTATCGTATTTTACTTCTAAAATGAACAAAGGATAAAAGAGGTTTAACTTCAGTATGGCAATTAAGTTGTATAGCTTTGAAAGAGAACTAAGAACTTAACAAACATAAGCATGCATAGGAACAGGAGAGAGGGGTTCTGTGTATAATGTGGATCAGATGTCTGTCGTCTTCTGTGTATGGCTGCATAGATGAGAGGCAGCTTCCTAGCAGGACGTTTATTTAACTTGTTCAAAGGAACCGCGTATAGATCCAGGGGAGATATTCCTTATAAGGAAAAGTATGCAGACTATTTGGAAATAGCTCGCCTAGGATGAAGGCTGGAGAAATGCTACTAGATTCCCTTTTTGAAAGATCTTCTTAACCAATCCCAATGCTATTTCCCTTTGCTGGAAGACAGTGTTTGGAAGCTAGTTGGGGCAATTTTATTTGCAGTCGTCCCTCAGGCAGAGGGTAGGCAAGTGTCTGGCTTGTTTTCGTCAAGGTAAATGCTGTATTTAATGGTATGCATGGAATATGTCTGACATTTTAAGGATGTCTTTCTTTTTTTGGCGATGCAGAGTATCTTTGGGGCATTGCAGTTGACCCAGTATTTGCCCTACTAGTTTGGATAGTTCCAAGCCTTAGGAGAAAGACACGGGCAGGGGCGGGAGCGCCGGCTCCCTGGGGTGGACTCGCCTCACGCAGGGGGATGAGGAAACCTCACCTCGCCGGTATTACTCACCTCGCAAAAGCGGGCACATCCCCTGAGCCCTGGAGCCACCTCACTGGGAGGGGGCAGCCGGGGCTCCCTCTCCCCTCCCCGCGTCTCAGGAGCTAGGCCAGGCGCAGCAGCAGCTGCCGGGGCGGGTGGCTCGGTGTCCCTTCATTACGCTCGTACTGGGGCGGTTTAGGGGGGAAGGCGGGCCCTGGCCCCGGCCCGCGGGAGTCCGCGCGCGCTGCGCCGCCAGGGGGCGCTGCCGCCCCAGGGCGCCCACCT